TGTATTATGAACTGTTAAAACCGACTGAAAGAATCACAGGCGATCGGTATCGAACGCAATTGATGCGTTTGAGCCGAGCATTGAAAGACAAACGGCCGCAATACAACAGAGACACGATAAAGTGATTTTGCAGCATGACAATGCTCGACCCCATGTTGCGAAAGTAGTCAAGACATACTTGGAAACGTTGAAATGGGAAGTCCTACCCCATCCGCCGTATTCTCCAGACGTTGCTCCCTCTGACTATCACTTGTTTCGATCAATGGCACACGGCCTGGCTGATCAGCACTTCCGATCTTATGAAGAAGTAAAAAATTGGATCGATTCGTGGATAGCCTCAAAAGATGACCAGTTTTTTCGACGCGGGATTCGTACGCTACTCGAAAGATGGGAGAAAGTAATGGCCAGCGTTGGACAATACTTTGAATCATAAATGTATAACCAGTTTTTTACAATAAAGCCTCGAATTTCGGAAAAAAAACGGCGGAAGCAAAGTTGTACACCTAATAATGAAAAAAATAGGAGTTTCCCGGATGGAGGAGTAGACTAATAGATGGTTTATTACTATTTATCAAAGATTTCCCGAAAAAAATAGGAATGATTAAAGTTTTGTTTTATATGTAAGTCGGAAAATGTGATCAGGCTTATCTGTAAGTATAGGGCCACTGAACGTGCTCTCGATTAATAATTATTTTTCTTTAACTGATGTTTAATTTATTTATAATAATTAATTAGTCCAAAAGGTGATTCGATTGGCCATGCTACTGACTCTATCCTGAAGATATTCGTAAGTTATTCACATTTGAGAAAAAAACTGTTTTTTCTCCACGAAAGAAATGAATCGTGGAGTCATCAGGACGTAACAATACTCGTAATTGCATTACCTTGTCTATACAAGTGTCACCACAAAGAGTTAAAGAAGTAAACACTTGGCGCTGCAAGATTAAATAATAAATACTAATAAAAAATTCAAAAATTATAATAATAGTTAAAAAAATAAATAATAAAAGATAATTACAATTTTAACGTACTGATAAATTTAATCTGTCCAATTCTTGGGAAAGTTTTAATTTGCGGGATTGTTTGGATAGATGATGCAGGAGAGTAGAAATGGTTTCAACGAACGCTTAGACTTTATCTGATAGGTAAAGGCGAATACCTGAAAGTCGGACGCACTTTTTATTGCTCTGGAATATGGGTCAACCTGAAAGAATGGTATAACATCTGTTTCCGACGAATACACAGAATCTCAAAAAACTGGCAAAAAATCGATTTTAGAATTTCAGTAAAATATGTATGTCATTGTCATCTCAATGCATCAAAGTAAGCCGGATTTAAATTTTATAATATTTAACTAAATACTTTTATTTCGGCTTTGAAAATAAAAACAAGCTTTAAACCAGATAAATAACATACATATATGTTATAAATATTATAAATTTCAAAATCCACTTTTATCTTACTTAAAACTTATATCTTAAGTTTTATTATTTATTTATTGTTTTTTGGTATATATTTAAAAATGTTAATTATTAATAATCATTTAATAATATTACATAAATTAAAGTTCTGTATCGATTGAATTGAATATTTTTACATTTTTGCAAGTTAAAACTTGCTATGGATTGATATAATCGGAGATACCACTTTCTAATGAAATTTGCTTTACACTGATACATTCTCATATTATGTCTTTTCAAAAAAAACCTGCCACTTTTTGCCACTTCGCTTTGGCTTCGAAGAAATAGCCTATTCGATCACAGCACGCGCACATGCACGACATAGCGAGCGTACCCGAACGAGGGCGATATTTATTTTCGTGAGCGCATCTTATTAAACGCAGATTTTGAATTGGCTGGATTTACTTTTGAATATTTTTTTTCACATTTAATAATCAGCTATGTCAACTTTATTATGAAAAATTATTGAACAATTTTTCATGAAACTTGATATTGACTATAGATAACGTACCAGTATACGTGCCATTATAACGCCGGTCCTAAGCTCGGATGAGGAGGGAAAGCATTTAATTTTTATATTCATTATATTTTCTTTTCCGTATTATATTATTTTCAGTAAAGTTTAAGTGTAGAAGTTGTTACGTAATAATTATAATTTTATTTTCCCATATTGGACCACCATTCTGAATTTCAAAATTGTAGTATATTATTTTCGAAACCAGCGATCCCAAAAAACCGATTTCGTCCAAATCACTTTTCGCATTTTAGTCCGCCATATTAAATCGGCTATTTTAAATTTGAAAATTTTGACATTATAAATGGAATCAACGATACCGAAAATCTTATATCAGTGTATCGGGGTTAGATATTTTCACATATTTTACGAGATATTAATTTTTGTCACTTTTTCGGAATTCTGTCTCACTGTGGAGTAGTGCGAAAGTCGGTCTGAATTTTGAGTCAAGGGATTTAATCCTCATAACTCAGGATCGAATCACGTGCGATCTTTGAAAAGCAGTAGGAATGAATACGAAGTTTTATGATTCTACAATAAGTTGAAATTGATTATATTAATATTTGATTGATTATACAATATTTTAATTTATTATTAAACCAAAAATTACTTAGTATTATAATATTTTAAGTGTAGCTATATTTGTAACTATTATTATTTTAACATATTATAAGAGTAATCTTGTATTTTTATCTTATTGTAGATTTATTTCTATTAACTAATTACTATGAGCTATTTACCAAAGAGTTGTACATTATGAAACGCGATTGCTTAAATCATTAAAATTAAAATTATTAATTAGTTACAAGAGATAAGTATATATTTTATCAGAGTTAAACTTAATCATAACTTAACTTAATCATAGGGCGAGCGTGAATCTGCACTGTGTGCGTGCGTGCGTGCGTGCGTGCGTGCGTGTGTGCGTGCGTGCGTGCGTGTGAGTGTGTGTGTGTATACATATATTGTATATACATATATTATACATATATATATATGATGAATCATGTTAATTTATCATCTCAATATTTTCGTTCCCTTGCATTTTACAAGAAAATGTTTCAGTCAAAAGTTGTATGGTTTTCGAGGGAGACATAAGATAGTATCATTGGTTTGACCTTGGATGACGTTGTCAAGGTCAGACGAAAGTCACATTAAATTTTTTAAATGGAACTCTCCATTTTTTATTGCACATTCTTGTAGCTTACTTTGAGAGCTTTCCAAAACACTATAATAATAAAATATTTTCTATCTATCACCCCAAATATTTCCCTTGCACTTTACAAGAAAATTTTTTCAGACAAAAGTTGTATGATTTCGAGGGAGACATAAAATATCATTGATTTAACCTTGCATGCACGCACGCACACGCACACAGACACAAAATTGCTCTTACGAATGCTATAAGATGTAACTTATATCCATCCGCATGCACAATCTCTAGCAATATGGCTGACCTTCCTTTCCGACCTGACGTGGCGCAAGTTGATGTCAAGCGAAAGACCTTATTTGACGAAAAACTCACGTATCCTTTGCCTGTATCTGACTTGAAGGACCAAAATGTTCGGGCGATTATATGTCATAATGGTATTCGTTA